AATTTTTATCTTATTTTGGTCCAACGCTAAAAATTCCATTTTCAATAAAAATTTTTCCCTCAAATTTTCACCCCGCTAAACGAAGTAACAAGGTACCAAGAACATTTCAGATGCACCAAACTCATTCAAACAGTTTTTTCCGGCGTCGGCTTTTTGTATGGCGATGTAATCTCTGTCTCTGACTCTTCGGCTTTCCGTTTCTTACGCACCAAATGAGATATATCACTAGCAGGTTTTTGAACTTTAGGTGCAGAGTCGTTGCTACCACTTGGTCCGGCACCATTTGAACAGCCACCAGCTACTTTGTTTTTGATACCTTCTATGACGAGTTTGCAAGCTTCCTGCTTAAAGTCTTTCATATCTGAGATTTTCTCTTGAATTTCTGGGAGCAATTCTTTCAGTTCTTGAATCTCCCCCTCTACCGTATAGAAGGAATCGTCCGTTTTGGGAGGTTCTTTCATTTCTTCCAAATCTTTGATACGCGAATCCAGCAATTCCGTAGCTTTGTTAAATTCTTCAATACTGGCGTCAAATTCGTTGCCCAAGGAGTGAGCTAATGCAAGCTGATAATGGATTTCTGCTATCGCCCTTGGCTCTCGCGGCTCAATCTGTTGCAGAAGTTCCAGACATCGATGTAGATCGTTCAAAGCACCCTGAAAGTTCCCTCCTTCCATGGCCACTTCTCCTAAGAGTCGATAAGCATCGGCCAGTAACTTCCAACCGGATTGACCACGCTTTAATAGCACCAGTTTCGCTAGTTCTAACACTTCCCAGGCAACCTTCAATTTAAGGGCAAATATTCGTTGTTCATTAGAGGTTTTATAAGATAGAAGACATTTCTAAACGAGGATCTAACACGATTGCTTAAATTTCTTTTGAAATTACGTAATGAGCAATAATAAACAACAAAGGAAGGTAAGTTTCTTTACAAGATGTGTTGCAATGCAATAATTTAATATTATCATATACGAACAATGAAAGAAGAAAATTAAATTAAACAATCTTCATACCTGTAGATTGTTAACTTCATCCTCTTCGTCTTCCTTTTCTATGTCCTCACCATCATTTTCTCCATTTTCCTTGGCAACCCCATTCTGTTCAGTTGAACAAGAAGGTCCATTAGCGTTACTTGTATCTTTACTGGAGTCAGCCGCAGGTTTCTCATCTTCTTTTGGCTTTTCGACCGTTTGTTTCGCCGTTTTACTATCTTCAGTCCTATCAGAGTCCGATTTTTCTGTTTCGTTCTTTTCACTGCTCGTTTCTACCTTCTCTTCTTTTTTCTCAACTTCCGGTTTCTTGAGTTCCTGCTCAGCTTCCGACTCTTCAGTTTTGTTTTCGGTCGCGGTTTTCTCTTTTGCCTCGTTGACTGCTCCATTGTCTGTGTGTTCTTCAGTCTCCTCTTCTTCCTTCTCGTCAATGTTGCTCAATTTCTCGTCTTCAGCCTCTTCCTCGTCCTCTTCATCGTCTTCTTCAGTTTCTTCTGTGCCCGGCACTCCGCCACCCAACACTCCAGCTTCCTCTCTCGCTAAACCAAGAAGAGCCCGACCGTAAAGCAAATAAGGCTCGCCAAGTTCGTCCGCGGTGTCTCCGTGTTTTTCAACGAGCAGTTGACATGCTTGTGCCAATGCGGTTACAGCCATGGTGTAGTCCCGGACTAAGAGATGCCGTTTGCCATGGGAGATCGCGGTCGCTGGGTCAGTGAAGGCTGCGTTTTCGGCAACGTCGGCCATCTATAACGTCAGATGCATTGTTACTTATTTAGTTATGGTTATCGCGTAATATGATTATATCTGATAAATTAAATTTTTTTGTTGATCTTTTTCCGTTGCTGTTTTCAAAGTGGATTACGATTTTTATGCATTTATGAAAAATTTAAATATACAAAAAATAAAACTTCCAGATTAAATATTTAGAGGATTAAATGCAAATTTGCGTTTGGATCTTTTAAAAATATGAATTTGCATAAAATTTACTCTCTGTTTAGAGAAACTTAATACAGAAAAATGCGTTCTTATAAAATGTGATTTCTCCAACATTCGATCCACATCGATGATCAAGACTTTGATAAAAGAATATTCTTCGATTATCCGCCCACGAGAATGGTCCGATATCAGTAATGCAATTAAAACGTGTTCAGAATATTCCACCTACGCGCGATACGTGTCGCGTTTTCTACGCAAATGATATCTATCGCCACAGCAATATATTATTAGTTAATATTAACATTGACTAAATAAATAAGTGAATCTCGTAGAACGCCGTACGAATTCGACTTGGCAGCAAGCAAGTTGTAGATGAGTGGCGCGTGAGCAACTCGAACATGTTTCAGATAAGAGTAAGGCATTTAAATATCGAATACTGTACTACTAACGTTAGAACAATGGTAGGTAAGCAGCTCGTTAAGCGACAATCGCAGTTTCCTAATTCTCTTGCAAACAACCTGCTAACGAGCAAAGATCCACCTTTATAACAGAATCCCGCGAAATGATGCAACGTCGATGCTAATGACTTCTTGCGACCTACTAGCTCCACAACCTGCGGTCATGCAATTTTTGTTCCTAGTTCAAAGTTTGTATGATCCGTGCTTAGTAATAGATATTACTGAAGTTTCTACATCACATAATTCTAGAAGAAAGTTAGGTATCCCAATTATATCCAGCTTCGCAAGAAGCTTAATTTGACATTAAAACTCCCAAGGAGACATCCGATATCAAGCGCATCGTTAAACCTTTAACTACAATCTTACTATGAAGGCATGCTTTCTCAAAAGAGTTATCTTAGAAAGGCTGTTTCACACTTGAAAGAAAGAGTTCTTCACAGTTCAAAGAAACCGTAGTAAAAAACGACAATGCGGTGAACCACCGTCGTCTTTAACAAACTTTGCCAAGAATAGTACCACCTAGAAGGAGAACAATAATTCAGAAAAGAGTGCATCGAATCAAAGAACGGGCAAAGGGGAAGAAGAAGAAGAAGAAGAAGAATAGAATAATGGAAGGAAACAAGAGAAGAAGGGAGAGGAACAAGGGAGAGAATCACCAGAGTGGGTTGTCCGCAGCATCCGGGTGGGGTGGTTGGTTGGGTGGTACGTCGGTCGATTTTCGTGCGCTTCGACGCAGAACGGAGAGGGCGTGCTGATCGTTTGCTCTCTCATAGCGGTGGAGAGTCACCGAAAACACCACGAGCTCCGGGGGTGTCGATTGGTCAGTGCGTAACTGGCAACTGTCGGTACGGTTGTGCGGCTTTCAGTGGGCTGCCAGCGGTCGCCCTGGGCACCACCTGCATGGATGGAGCCTACCCGTGTACCCAGGGCCCCAGCTCCACGTCTTATTTTCCTCGTCGCAACGTTGGCTCTCACTTTCGCAGGTAATTGAGATACGATTCTTCGCGCTCGACTCCCCTTTCCTTCGCTCGACGTGTTTTTGTTTGGGCCATCCGAATGGATCCCCTAAACCGGCTCAATTGACAAAATCAATCTTACGTAATAAATAATCTAATAAGTTGGCTCGCATCCGCGGTTGGTTTCCTAGACGCACGTTGCACGATGTAGAACGTGTTGTGCAGACCTATTTGTTAACCATCAGCTGATCCGGAGAAGCGTGTCTGTGGGCCATTACGAGGCACGATTTAAACGCTACGATAATCGAGAACATGTTTTTGTCGTGTCCTTAGTCTGTGTGGTAAACGAAGACGTGTAAAAATATACTGTGACTGATAGAGGAGTTTCAATGAATATGTAGATTCATCCTCGTTCCATCGCGTTAATTGATACCGGTGTACGTTTTCAATGGTGCATCGATTAATTCGATATTTGAAGTGTATATTAAGAGGGCGGATGTTAAGTGGAAAAGCACGTGGATAATGATGCTCTATCGTTCCCGATCCGAAGCGAAACGTCGTACTTTGCAGCGTCATCGTGTTTGATCACATTTGTAGTTTACGCAGATAACATCTATTCTTAGCAATTTTCGTCGCATGTTTCCGTATAATCGTAACATTAAGACGCACCAAACAGTGTAATCTAACAAAAATATGTATATATATGAATATGCAGACTGTTTTACGCATATCGTATATCGTACTAGATCATCGTCGTACCATGTGACTTGCTTGCATAAACACTTCATCCAGGCCTATTTAATCATCTCTCGCGCGTTCGTATACTTTGTTAATGTTCCTTCTTGTTCGCCTAAAAGCTTCCTTAATAGAAGAGTCAACAACCACCGGTTGAATTCATTGTATCGTGCATTTTTTTTTCAGCGGTGAGGAATGGTCACTCCAGAGAAGTGCTCCTATGCTCTAGTATGCTCGAGGGCTCTTGCTCACGTCAGTTTTCTTATGCAATGAAATATCCTATAGCATGCAGTTTAGCCATGGCGCGAAAACGACGCTCTTCTCAAGGCTCCTCGTTAAACGCGAAACTTACTGCCGTCAATCCCGACGAACGTCGTAGAATCTTCTTGTACCTCCTTAAGTAGAGGAGATTCACTTTTTATGACAGAAACTGTTGCAACAATATTGTAGTTATTACCGCTTGATGGTCTACGATTACAGTGGATGCATCTTCTGACAAATTGCTGTTCCGACAGACGAGACGTTTAAAGACCAAAATGCATACACTCGTACGAATCTATAAATATATTTCACTGCTTTGATATATTCGTCAGAATACGTATCTATCATAGCTACAACCTAAGCCGCATCCAATAGGAAAATTATTCCGGCGTTTTACCAGCATTGCAGTTAGCTTCTTCGGAAGGTCAAATGACACGCAGAAACTATCATACTGTGGTAATTGGCTATCTTATACACTGACTGTGCTTCTGTTACGAAACAATCATCACCAATCAAGTTTATTCTTTATAGTTGAAGTAATATCATTCAGTACATAGTCGCATGCTTGAGATATCAACCCGTATAACAAATCTTCATTCAGATGTTCCATTACAAAGTTAGTATCTGAAAGAATTTATAACATATTACTCGCGAGTATCTTCGAGATCACAAAGGTTTTACAAGCGTTGAAACCTTCTAAGAGGATTTTGAGAATTCGCGAAAACATTGGAAATGATAGCTACTGTTAAAGTTCGTTAGTTTTCCTTCTATCAATATGCACATTGCCGAGAGGTTGATCATAGAATCGAGGAGATTTAAAGTAACGAGGGCATTCTTGTGCAGAGGAACGTCGATATACAACGTTGAGTATAGAGAGACGTGTTTCATATCTGTTCCAGCGACCGGATTATTGTGTGGTGCCATAATGTCGGATCACTGGGAGGAAGTTGGCTGGGACAAGGAGGCTTTGACCCATGCGAATGTTACACTTAAATGGTACTTGGATGGACAGGTGGCGATGCTAGAGCAAACTCCCGGTCACAGAAATCATCATCCTAGCAGACGAGCTACCTTCCTCGTGCCAATGTACGGCGGTATTTGGATCATGTGCGTCTCCCTCACTGGTGAGTACCGGCTGATTTGTTGGATTTTGATTATTCCTCGACTATAGATTTTTCCTGAGAGAAAACTCAATTTTTATTTTATCATCACAGTCTAGTGAGAATTTTGAAACGTTTAACGAACAGACATACATCGTTAAAGAAAATAATTGTATTAGATCGACTTTCATGACACAGTGACTTAATAAATAAAATTCAAAGTAAAGTAGTGAGTTCATTCCTGATTAACAGGTATTTTCTTACAACGCAGAAAATAGTTTGACATCATAAAAAAATTCCACGGATATTTTAGACTACGGCTATTATTGGATTTTTTAATTTACTCTTAGCTTCTGAATAAGTTTTTTCATTCACGAATCTCGTTCGAAAAATTCGTCACCGATAAAACAATTATATTACTATGTTTTTAAAAATATCTAAGTTTCCGTAGATCAAAATTTAAATACATAGTTCCTTAAAACAGCTTTGTTTCGAACGTTCTGAGGTAGACCGTGAATTTTCAATGATACAATGATGTGCACACACCTTTTCACATACATGTGTAATCGTCCCGACATATCTCCGATGATACGGTTCTGTATGAACGACGTTCTATAGGTGGATGCCACCTTGACTCTGACCAAGGTATCGACCAGTCGATTATGATCTGAAACAGCGTGTTGTCCGACTAGGAATACTGTGACCATGAACATCTTGAACGTTCCTTCGCTAAAGTTTATGCCAATCACTTTCACTATGCTAAACCTTTCATCCAAAAGAAACGAAAAATGATAATGGTAATAAAATAATTAAGAAATGTGACGGATCGATGCCTCTTGCTCACTTTTAATTCGTCCCATAATAAGAGAATAGAATAGTGGATACCGCAAATGTAAAATAACAAGCATAGATAATTTTGAAAATACCTGAAAAAGTTCTAGTTCTGAAAATAGCTATCTTTCCAATGCAAAGTGATTCGATTTACTGTAATTTAGATAAAAATGTATATGTGTTAGAGTGAACGTATTTGTTGTTCTTTTATCAGAGGAACCATTACAATGGTGATACTGTACGCTACAGTAGCTTCCATGATATAACGAGATTTCAGATTAAAGAATTTCAGTAATGACATTGATTAATATTAACATCCAGGGGCTATATGTGCAACATTCTTTTTCGATGGAGATTAACATAACACTAATACGTATATACATCATGCAGTCCTAACTGAGATTTAGATTTCTCACTGCAGCATGTGTCCGACAAACAGAAATTCCAGAAATCCTAACAAACAGAAATTAATTCATTAAATATTTCCTAATTAAAGTATAGTATCTACAACGATTGGTAAGCATCATGCGTATATAGGGTAAAAATACAAAATAAATAAGAAATATATTATTGCATATTCTCATGTATGTTACTAAAAATTATTTGCGAACATTCGTCGGCAATCAGATTTACAGTTTACGAAAACTTTTGTGAAACTTTTTCAAGGAAGATTAACTTTATGCGGCTGCAAAAGTATTCAAACTTATTTCTTGCTATCAACTACCACTTTATAAAAAGTCTTTTATCAGAAAGAAGAGACTGGACAAACTTTAACGACTGAACTCTTCAAGGAAGAAATTTCAACAGTGGAAAGACAATACAAAGACATCGAAAAGGAATTTCATTGAAAAGTAAATTATAGCAGTAAATAGAAAGTAGCACGAGCATGTTAAAAAGGAAAGCCAACGAGAAAAAAAGAAAAAAAACAATGCAAGAATACAAAAAGAGAGTTACAGTACTAAAAAAACTGTAGCACAGAAACGTCGATATTACAAAAATAAGATACCAAGCCAGGAGCGAATATACGATGGTTAGATTTTTTCAAGCTGTCAGTATTTTTTCTGACCACCTGTAGTATATATGCCCTTATTGTCTCGAATTCTACAAAAAGCAAGAAAGTACAGTAGTAGTTTGATAAAATCCAAAGGAAAATATTAGATCCAGAGACAGAAATTGGGTCGTTTTCTAGGGGAGGATGGACGAACTGTTCTGGAAAAAGTCAATTGTGGCAAAGTACGAAAGGGTGTGGTGACGCAGACAACGAACTAAACAAGATATCATGGAAGCTCCAGCACGGGTTATAACTCAAATTAAACCGGATTTCTGTGCCCTTTGATTAAACAAAATTCTATTCCATAAAAGAAATAATCAAGGAAATATTCTACGAAGCGCAGAAAATATTATACATGGAATATTTGCAAAATGCGAGATACATTATCACGAAGCACAATTACTCACGATAAACATTCAAATCGATAGCCGCTAGTATCGACTTGTTTTGCTTTCATTTAGCTCGGAAAGTATAGCTACAATCGCGAGACAGTTATCGTAAAATACGATAAGATCCTCCTGCCTATCTTTACGATATAATCTTATCAGGAGAAAGTGTATAACGTTGCCAGAAAAAAGCTTATAAAAAGAACCATCTATGCACTTGGCTCAATTTATGAAAAATCGTTCTACCATTCTCTGACATGCATAGTTGCTTGTCTTCGATAACAAAAGAGATTATTAGTCTTTCGCTTATCGGTACAGCTCGTGAAATCAATAATTTTATTATTAATCTCTACGTCTGCACTCCATAACGAGCGATGCAATTATTTTATGTTTTAGCGAGCAATCTCATTAAACAAAAAATTCCATACACTCTTTTCTTCCCACGACGATTCATCACAATATCGAAAATTGCAACGCAGCATAACGAAATCTGTTCTCCTTGTTTCTCAATGTTTCATCGACTCGTCAGGTTTTTGTTGCCGTCGAAAAGGTTTAATTGAGAAGAAAGTCCAACATCACAATTGAAATTTCAACGTTTCTCCGCTTCTGACGGCCGTGTTTCTTTTTGCCCGCGTGGATAGACCTTCATTGTCGATTGTATGATTTGAACATTTAATTTTCTCGCCACATCGGGGACAAGGGAAAATTGGAAAGGCTGCGATTACTATTTCGATCGTCTACTCCAAGTTGAAGCAGCTTTGCGGTATGAAGTATTTGAATTCATGGATCATCGGTTCTTTGCGCTACAAGCTTTTGTATGTGAGAAAGTGGAAACATTAAAATGAGAAAAGAAAAGATTATTTTGAAAAATATTAATTTCATAAAAAAAAAATTAGTAAGTCTTTTACGATTAACGAGATGGCTTTTTATTATTAAATGAACTTGACCTTCGGAAATGTGTGCCTATGTAATTTGTTCCTTCAGATTTCTTTTTCTTTCTCCTGGAGAACTTCCTCTGATGGTTTCTGGTCACGCCAAGCACGGAACGTTGCTGTTTAAATCAGGCGACGCACTAGTTCTGCTTTATGTACTGGGTCTTTATGAAAATCAGTCTAATATTCTCGACCTGCACATCCTGAAATTATTTTATACTTCTAGAAATTGTTTGGTAAATATAGTAATCTTTGAAATCCAATAGTACATCCTTGAAATGTTTTTGTTAAAAGAATGCAGAATGAATGGAAATTCATTAATGATATTTCATCTGTTATCTATCTTATCACATGTCAAATCTTCGTTATCGAATTTATGTTGGAACTCTTTTGCTAGTTTATCAAATGAAAGAGGAGGCACGAGGACAGCCAACCTAGACCCGCTGAACTTGGATCGATCTATTTCTGCTTCAGGATTTATTATTGCTCAATTCTCCAAGTTTCCACGACCTTCTATACCCCCCGTCTTCCTGACATTTCACGGAAATCCACGTTCAGGTTCATCCTCTCCAACGAGCCGATAGTATTCGGCATCTGATATCGAATCTCACGCTCCAACTATTCGGCGCTCCTGACCCCGAGACTTAATTCGACTACTCATTTCCAGTATCGAGTTAACTGATCACACGTAAATCTGTGTAAACCGGCTCTCTCCACACGGGAATACAACATTTTATTGTTTCTATTTGAATTAAGGCCAGTGCGTGCACCTAATTACAACACCAACTCTGTATTTTCATTTTCTTTTTCCAACTGATCGATTCCAGTTTATTACAAGTTATTTTGTTACCGTCGACTCGTGAAATCAGCGAGTTTCCAATTAAACCTTAGGTCATACATAAAAAATTAATAAAGGTTCTTTCAAATTAAATAATTAAGTTTTCGCATACACAAAAATGTATAATAAACGTAGAGCTACAAAAATTCAGTGACATTTTCTCCAATTTGATACTCTTTAGACTAAATACGGGATTTAATGTTTCCAAGCTTTTTCATCAAAATTTCACCACACGAAGGAAAGCTTTTAAAGATCGTTTAATTAAAAATCGAGTCGAGTAGAGTAAGGATAGAAGTGGAAACCAGCGGAATCCACCCCGTTCACAATTTCGTTCCACGTCGCGCAAGGAACAGCGTGAAAATGACGTCATTTCTTTTTTTCACTTCTCGTGTTTCAGAGGAGGAAATACGACTACTGGGTCAGGTAGGTTTTCCGCAAGGGAGGTGCATTAACTACTTGACGCCTGACGAAGTACACGAGGAGATCCGCGCCGCCTGGCAGAATCGTGAGTATAGTTGTTTCACTTTTATTCTCTCTCCTTTACCTCCACGATTATTGTGACGTGATCACCCTCGTTAAATTGATTTCTATTTACGGCGACTGAAAATTAAATCGATACAGTGTAGCTTTCAATGTTTTGCAGAGAAGAAAGAATAGCTGCGACATTTGGGTCGAGATTACTTGTCGTCGAGATGTTGCAATTTTTCAATCGATTTCATCCAGAAGAGAGAGAATTTCTTCCTTTTGAATTATTTACTCCTCAAAAATTCTAATAACTGACGAATATTTTTGATGATACTAGCAAAGTGCATCGAAGATTCTATGGATTTTATATTTAACACGATTCATAGAATAATTTTAATATTTTTCTAAACGATAAAAATTCATGTTCATTCATAGGGATGCAGAACTTGAGTATCTCCTGTTCTCTAGTCTGTCTGATTATCTTGGGCACAGCAGTTCTCATTGGATTTTTTGGACTCTGCAGACATCAAATATCGGCCGTCCTCGTTACCGGTGTGATGTATCTTTTAGCAGGTGAGTTTGTTGCCGAGAAAGCTTTTAAAGCGACATTAAAGTGTTAATCGCCATTAGCCGAATAAATTTGATCGATGTGGAGCATCGTGGTTGCGGGAAACCTGGTAACCGCAAAAGGATTTCTGCATACTTAGTAAGTCGACCGCAAAATAAGCTGTTTTAAGAGAGGAATACGTTGTTAAAAAGTTCTCAAGCTCTTTATTCGTCGATGGTAAATACGAAAAATTGCTTTTGGAAAGTAATAGGTGTGAAGAATGAAATTACAAACCGATAATCACAAGCAATTCAATTTACATTTCCTCGTTGAACCATGTATTCGATTGTGTCACGCAATCAACTCATTTTTATCGGAAGTTCAATAACTTTTCATGAATAATTAAGATATTTTCTTATTCAACGAAGGAGCTTCCCTCTTGGTATTAGTGGTCGCCGTTGAGTACGATAAAAGGCAAATACCTCTCACCTCCGATAAGACGTTTCCAAACACTCCAGAATCTATTTTTCTTTGTACTCCTTTGCTTCAATTAAGTCTTTTGTAAGCAGAATTTCTTTTTAAAAAAATGCAAAACTGCTTGCTACAGAATTTCATTGTCCATATAAAGATAAATATCTGTCTTATTTTTAACTTATTCAAAATTTCCTAAAATTATTCAAATATTTCATGTTAATGATAATCATCTGCTTTAAATTAAGAAGTTTCCTTTTAATATGAAACAATTGTTTTAGCCACGTTCGCGTTGTTCACCCTGACGATAATTCACTTCAAGAGAGCTCAGGATCGGGGAACTAGATTACCCGACGGCCCTGAGGATGGTGTAATTGGTGGACCGGTTCCCCGTAATGTTCTCAAGGCCAGACGATTCACCAGCTCCTGGAGCATGGACTTTGGATGGGGTGGCGTTACACTTTGTGCCCTTGCCTCGGTTGCATGGATCTTGCTCAGCAAAATAATGCGTTTCAGCCCCATTGCTGCTATGATAGCGTAGCAGTGGGAAGCCTTCGAGGTCTAAGGTCGTTTCCAAAAGTTACAATATAGCGTTTCGATGTCGTCGCCTCTTTAAGCGTGTTCCAAACCAAAGGTGATTGCATTCATCCATGATGGGAAGTGGGTCACAGGAGTTGATTGTGTAGTTTCTGATTTATTCTGACTAGAAAGTGAGTCAGCTTGATGGGCAGCTCAATACCATGAACTATTTTGTGAGCTATGGAATTTTCATTGTGCGGAGCAATCAATTTGTGTCAAGTTGTTATTCGCAGTCTGTAAAGTAAGAAGGCTTTAGCATATAGGTGGAAGTTTGACATTTGGGAGTAATGGAAACAGGGTACACGACATTGAGGCAATTTTGAGAGTATTTTTTCAGAAACGATATCAGAGTCGAAAATGACCACCTCGAAGGCAGTTTGTTTTATCAACAGGTAATGCGTGTTGCATAGTGTTTGTCAAATTTATGGGACTAACTTGGACCGGTCTAAAGCATGGCAAGGTATAGAAGGAGCCTAATTTTTGGCAAACCTTCTAAATGCAACATTTTGTACAATTTATCTAACAATCTCTAGTCTTTGACAAAGAAAATATACATGAATGAGTGAAGAACTATATGTTCAAGAGGGATGTACAGGCTTTAAAGTAATACCTCTTGTATCTTTGAGTTTCCAAATCTTTAAAGTTTTGCACAAATTTATTGCCCTATCGAGATAATTCAAAGATCCCCTTTTCATATAGATCTTTACTATAAAGTAAAATATTTGCAGGTACATGAGTAATGAGATAATATGTGTGGGAGGAGAGTACGGTGTCTGAACTGAAGAAGTATTATTCATTGATAAGTAGAACAGAGTACACGTTTACCTCAGTTTTGATTTGCAGTCGGATTAGTCAATTACTGTACGAGTAAAGGAAAACCTTACTGTTTCTAGTCTGTCTTTTTAGACATATTTTTAATATACTTCTAATATGGTCTTCTTTTTGTACAGTTACAATTAATATGATTAAATTTATGCGAGAGTTGATTTGAAGTAAGAATATTTTTGTGTGTTGTAGAAGCTGAGACAATATTTGTTGATCTTTGCTTAAATATTTCAATACAGATTGTAATGTAATATAGATGCCTATAGCATAATTCGATCGCCTTATAATTAGAAAGATAAGCATGTTTGTAATATGCATAGCATAGCAGTAAACTTGTTCGAGCCAATACAAGCAACGATATGCGTGTTTGCAAGAATTTAGCTTTTGCTACGACTTGTTATAGCAAACAAAAGAGGAATTATGCCAACAAAATGTATCATATACAGAGGATTGTGAATTGCAATTCGTCCATTAAGATTTAAGAAACAAAATAAGGATGCTTTAAATGAAAGCATCTCCTACATACCCGGAGACTAAGTTTTGCTAGTTCAATGATAAAATGATTTAAAAAGGAAAAAAAGACGAATATATACGCTTGCAAAACTATTCTCCGAGTGTTTATTTAAACGAAACGCATTTTTCTGATAATATTTTCTTGATTGTAATATTTTTTACCTGATCCTTGTTATTTGTTACATTGGAATTAATGTATCATACATGCAATAAAAGAATAAGCTATGTATAAATAAAGGATATCCTTGTTCTTTAAGTTTTATCATTTATAACCTCTACAATATTGCACAACTTAAAGAATTACGCTTTTACATCGTGGACTGGCAGGTTATGTTTCGCAAAAACGATGTTCGCATGAACATGACTCACGATGAGACGAATACAAGTAGATAGAATGTCAGTTTTCGTATATATGAGCTATTTGAATACGAAAACACGTGACCAGACATTACAGGTATATGTAACGCGGGACATGGTCGCATTACAACCTATACGTACATATATGTCTGTACATAGATTAAACATATTATAATTTTGTGCCGCGGTAAACAACAAAAGTAGTACAACTGTGAGCTCATTGTACTAAGAATGTACGTATAAAAATAAACTATGCGTTACGTTACTATTTCCTTCGATAAATCTGTTTAACAGCATCTTATTTTCTCGAGTATACGAAATATCTCGTTTTTTAACGTGGTTATTCATACGAACGTTTATCAATTTATAGGAAAAAAGAAAAATATGGTCAATGCACGTAGAACACAAAGAAAATATACATACCTTGATTCCGTTCGAATTACTGGACGTTTGACGGTTTTTTAACGATGGACACGCTTTCACTATGTTCCTTGTGGGTTGCACGCAACGTTCTGAGTATCACGAACTTTACTTAAACAGTTACAAGTAAATTTATGTACAGAGACGCAAAGATTTAACGGAATGACCGTTATACCAAACAACGGTTTATTACCGGCACGCGCACAACTTGTATGAGCGTCAAGCACATCGTGAGCACAACGATTTATCCTGCACCAATGTGAACTGAACTTTCGACTACGCATGTGTACTTATTTTACCGCCATTTAGTCTTTTAGGCGGGAACGATTGATTTAGATAACGTAATATTTTGATTTCACCAAACACACTTCAACTATATTATTTACTATAATTATTTATTTATTATATTATTATATTAATAATATAACATTTCTTATTTTTAATATATTCTAAACAATTATCGAGATAAATCAAATTCGATATATCGAATAAGATGTGACACAATTAGAAAGTTAACAATTAATTTTCATATTTTTTTATGAAAAGAACAAAATTTACTGTGGAGTATTTAATGTTGAAAATAAAGAATGCATGATTTTGTATTCTAAAAATCTAAGAAAAATTATATTAGTAGTGTATATAGAAAAGATTGCAATTGATCCGGATATATCGATATTCCTAGACTGCGCAATGAAAGTTTTTCAAATTAATACGCAGCTTCCATCTTTTTGTGCAGTTTTGTTGAGTGGTATGCTATGCCGTTCCATAAATTTTCAAAGAAACTTATTGAATTTGTTGAATACAAATTGGTAAGTGCACACAAAACGATAATTACGCAATGATATTTCAAGCTACATAATAATTGGCATAAAAATATATAGATACTGAGAAATATCTTATACAGAAGCCAAGAAACCGTCTGTTGCTTGCTACAATCTTTTAACATTGTTGAATATATTTTTAATCAAATATCTGATTTTAATCTTAATTAGTATGATCTCTTATCATATTCAAATACACACATACAATACATTTATGTAAATTCACAATTTAGTGAATATAATATGAATATTATATATAGTCATGTATTTCAAATACTTTATACCTTTAGATCTATAATTCAAATATTTTCTATCTTTGCATTTACATGTCTAAATTTTCTATAAATACATAAAATGTGGCTCAGTATATTTATCAAATAATTATTAAGAGACATGCAATTCGTGATAATTTACTATAGGATACTGATTTATAGTTCGGTAGTTACGTACTACATAATATTGATTTTCAATAGATCGATAGTCAACTATTCAAATTGCTTGCGATTCTCGATCGCCATCTTGGATAATCTAACAATGTGTATCGTCACATAAGATTTCGGTTTCGTTTTTCAGGTGCAAAAAACTGGTGAAATTGTACATTCTTCGAATTCAATGGTTTTGAAGGTAATTGTTATTGGTAAGTAAGAGCCTGATATTATTATTCGATAAATTTTCTCAGAATTACTGTGAGATATTTAATAGAAATGATATATACTATATTGGAGTAGTAAGAAAGATTGAACAATTATGATTATAAAATTTAAATTAATGCATATTAAAATTACATATATGCAAATTAAAATTAACAAATGCTACTTATAAATCGGAATAACTACCAAACAATTAAAGTGATATAAGATATTGATTTGTTTAATCGATCGACATTCAAAAATTTTTTCCGATTCTCGATCGCCATATTAGATAACATCTAACAATGTTTGTTGTCACTCAAAATTTCGCTCGTCTTTCAGGTGCAAGAAAGTGTGCTGAAACTGTGCATTCTTCGAATTCAATGGCTGTGGAGTCATCCTCAGTGGTAAGTAATGTTTGATTTTATTATCAGAAAAATTTTTACAAAATTGCTGTGAGATATGTAATGAAGATAATTTATAAAATATCAAAGTAACAAAGCAGAGAAAAATTATAGTTATAAAATGTAAATCAATGTATATACGAATTAAAATTAATTATATTGCCTATGAATTGGATTTGAAAGAATTATTTAAAAATGAATTATCCAGTTATATCCAATAGTTGATTTCGAATAGAGTTATTATTATCTTCAATCGTACTTTTAATCGGCCTTAAACGCGTTTCAGCAGAAACTTGATCATTGATGTTATTGCAAAATTCGATAGGTTTTTTATCAGATTTCAATCTTTCAACACCAATGTTTAATTCGTTCTTAACATTATTTTGGTATATGAATTTTTTATTACGTATAGCAAATAATTTTTCTTTAGCTTTTTCCATGGCAGAATGTTTTTCGTTGTGATAATTTTTCCAGCAATGTTGGAACCTTATGAATACATCATTCCAAATGCAAAGTTCCTCAACTGAAATGCATTTATATTAAAATTTAATATAAAATTTAAGCAATTAGAATAATCAATGTTTGTGTAATGTTATTTTATAATATACGGACGTGTGTGATTTTTGTACCGTATAAAAAGAAAGTCGTAAGTATAAATATTGCAGTAGGAAGAGTAATGTTAGATAGAAGTTCATTGGCTAAGTTTAGAAGCGCTGGTCCTTCACATAAAGTCATTCCTTTCATGGTATCCACCAACCATGGTAAATATAAGTAAGGAATATCATATCTATCAGCAAACGTCATCATTAGAGTAGTTATCAGTCCAGAGATTATATTTGTTACCAGTATTATAATCTTCAAATCTGAGAATAAAGTTTTAATTTTTTTAGACGAGTTAGATTTCAAATGTAAAATTTTCAAATTTTCGAATTTTTAAATTTCAAATATTAAAATAAAAAATTTTAAAAATTGTTCTAAAATTTTAAATTTAAAAATATAAATTTCATATCTTTTATATTCAATCATGTTTTCCTCGAAGATATAAAACAAGATGAAGATTTTTAATAAAGTGATAAGTTTTACGGTAATATTTAAACTTTGTTACTGTAATTTCGCCGAAAAAGAGCGTTAAATGCGGCCGATTTTGTCACTGGATTCCCGTGAGGGTAACGGCCTCCGGCTTCTAAAGTGATACAACTTAAACAATATATTGCGAAACACATCAGTGCCATGTACAGTGCTTCTACCTAACATTGTATAATACAATATTAATAGTAATAAGAAACGCAAGATATATTTAATTACACGCTAGTTTAAATTTTTAATATTTTTTCGTACCTTTGACAAATTTTTTACATGCCGGTTCTTTCCATTTTCTTTCCTATTCTCTGTGCGTGCGTATGTAACATTTTTTTCTAATTTTAATGACATTATAACAGGATTTTATCAACTTATTCGTACATGATAGAACCATTAGGTTATGAGCAAACTGCAATCCACGTGTTTTTTTAAATTATATATGTATATATATATATATATATTAACAACAAACGCGAAATTGGTACAATACAGTAAGTAGTCTGCAATTTCAAGTATATACGTCGTACGATTATCCTTTATTATATCAAAACATTGTGTACAAGGTTTTACAATAATTTTAATAATTCAAATTGCATAAACATTTTCTGCTATCAAATTTTTTTTTAGAATTAAAGATTTAACGAGACTGCCGAGCTTGTCTATGGAACAAACAAAACACTTGAAGCCAATTATGTACGGTCAGGACGGATAATAAAATTTCGTCGCGTTTTATGTGAAGTCCATCCAAAAATACTTTCACACAGAATACAGTGACCTCCACGATGATCACGCACAATTGCATTAAGAGCCAGGGTGTATGTAACATTGGATATTCCTAGAAAAAAATATCGTTTCACTTTAATATGTCGAATTTAAGGGAAATTTCTTCGAATCACTCACTGTAATTGCTCCCAGCATGATTAAGGTGTAGTGCTCTATTCCCAGAATCGACGTCATTAGCTTTAGATCTCTTTCCACATCCAAAGGTACTAATAATAGAACGATTAATTGTTATTAAATTCTATTCTAAGACTGTTAGGGGAATTGAATAAATTACCGGTTTCATTGTTTCTGGTTTGCGAGGGTGATCTGACTGGCAATTTGCAATTTATTATGCGGATGATATCAAACGCTGTAATCACCTAGGTCATTAATTAGGCAGTGTATTTGTAAGATTTTCTTCCGTATACAGTATTGTGCAAAAGGCTTAATTTTATGATGGTAATTTATCATGATTTTAGGAAATATTTTAACGTAGTTAAAAGGAACGAATCTTCTTTTATCGTTTCCTTAGCTTATATGTATATTCTTTAAGAATATTTCGATACTCAATTGTACATTATATATTGTAAAATACGTGTAAAATGATTTAAAGTGTATCTTAAGAATATAGAAAGTGAGAGACGTATAAATAAATTATTTGAAGTACTAAAGATAGAATGGAAGATAGTAGGAAATGAGTTTATTGCAAAATTACCTAACAGCATCGCTAATATAATTCTTTAAAAAAAGATTCTTTTCTAATAAATTACCAATAATTCCTGAAAAAGATAACACTTTTTGGGAATCAACAACAAATCTAAAATAATATCAAGTTGCACAATACTGTACTTCAAGATATTTCAAATAAATTTAGATTAAACATTTGGTGAATCGAATTTAAAAGTTCACGAACCACTATCTTCGTTCAGACGAAAGAGATTCGTGAACTCTTGTGTTTTATTATGCGGAAATAATTAAGGAGTATTACGATCGACTAACGGTCCCAATGAGGCCGAGTATGATCACGTAGATAGAATTTCCCATGATGTAATGGTCGCACAGGGTGCACGCTAGTTGTCCAAGTCGCTAGAAAATTGTTACATAAATTATCTACCTGTTTCTCATCGTAATGTCACGAACATTACCAAAGCTACTAACTAAATATCCACTACGTTCGTTAATTTTTCGTCTACATCGAAATCTCATGATTATTCTCGTCAAACTCTACGAAAATGATTCCAAGCTTGACCCGGAAACGAGAAAAAGCAATTCGAATTTTGATTACTATTTTCTGGAACCGTGCCAATTATTAACTCAGAGAATTGATCTATCCTAATTTCGACAATTCGTAATTATTCCAACCAAGTTTCACGATTCAACGATGTATTGCCAATCAATTAACCGGTTTGCATAACGATGAATGCAACGTTAACGACGTTATCCACACACGCGCACGTGTGTTCATGTACTCACCGTATTTTTGTTTCCAATCAGCGCTTTCAGATTGGAAAGCACAGAACGTTTGCAACGACGTGCCATTCTCTAAGTTCTTTTCTTATTCTCATAGCCGAAACGCTCGAGCAATTTTCTGCAAGTGAAAAATAATTCACCGAAATTTCCCCCGAAGGTTATACACGGCTTATCATCTTATAATTTTGATTCAATAATCTTCCCTCTCTGAACAATTTGAATAACGTTGCATAATGCGTTTCACTTCAAGGAGCCTAGGTCTGTAATTTTCGATTCTCATTGAAAAGAGGAACAAAAAAAAAAAGGAAAGGAAAATTCTCACGATGAATGTGTATTCTGGTAAAATTCAATCGATACACGACGAAGTAAGTCCTTAGAAATTATTTCATTGTTTCTGGTTAGATGAAATTTTCTGTGAGAAAGAAGGTTTCATTTGAATGGTTAAGTTACCTCCTTGATTCCCTGACGGGTTACAAAAGTTTCATTTCCCATCTCTTACTGTTCTTGTATTCCAACTTAACTTCACATAATAATAATAAAATAGATATAAGGATAAATGTAATAACACTTTACTGATACTTTAATATTTTACCATGGTATAACAAAAATATCTTATAAATTAACATAACGCCTATTTTATCTATGGGTGCATAAATTTCTTTTTCAATAACTGTCCTAAAATTTCAGTGAAAGTGGGGGTGTAGGTGTTAAATACAAAATTTATTCTCTTGGTCTATGAACATAGAAGGTTCAAGGGGAAAGTGGTAGGATAAAAAAATCTTTGACTTGTGGGGACTATGGATAAAGTTATGTTTTAATGGAGAAAGCTGTATGCTTTTAAACATTCAAATCATTCTGCTTATTGCAGTGCTGTATGGCTCACATAAAACCTTGACCTATTAGTTTTGAAGAATGGAAGCAAAGGCGAATGAAAAATCAGAACCAAATCTAAAAGCGAATAATCCAAATAATTGGTTACTGATGGTTAATCTGATGGAATCTGTTTTTCTTTTAGGCAACCGATCATGGATTTCCCCCGCGAAAATTTAAAACTACTTGTCCTTCTACGAATGAGATAAACATAAAGGAAGGGAAACTTGATTCTACCGAAACTTCTGAAAATGAAATACTAAGAATTTTTCAAGCTTTGTTGTTGTCTACCTGTATGTTACTTCTGAATTATCATAGCGTCCGTTATGGTCGGACAGAGTATAGTATCTTGGAAAATGGAGAGATCGCTCCAGGTTATGCTCATAAAGCTGTGATCACTTTGACCCTAGGCTACTCTATGCCTTATACGATTGTTTCTTTCTTCGCCATTGGCATGCTTGCTTATTCTTTGATCTCGGTGAGAACATTTCATTAATTTTGTTATTTATATAGATCTACAACAATAGAATATGTTATTTAGAATAATTTCATTGCTGAACTTTGTCAAAAGAGTTGATGGTTTGCTTTTGTTGAGAGAAATTGTACCGTAGTGGGATAAGAAGGACATAAAAATTGTTCTAAAACTATGGATTTTTGTTGCACGCTATTACTATAAGATATATAGTATATATATATATATACACACTACAAATTATGCACACTATTGGTTAAAAATTTCGAATTATTTGTATCTACCTTGAATCACTTAATTTTATTATCAATTTAAAATTAGTGCTACGAAGAAATCTTTAAATCTCAAATTTTTGCCTGGTAGTGTATATCTCTAATAATTGTAAATATTATAGAAAAATCCACGTTGGAGTCTCCCATCGATAGTTCTCTATCTGGCTGACTTGGTTTGCGGTATCAGCGAGTCCATTGTCGCTATTTGGTTATTTTTCTCCTATTTCCCATTATCGACCGCTCTGTCTTACACGTTAGGCACAATTTTACTGATATGTATGTTTCAGACCCTTAACACGTATATATTTGCTTTTCGATCATACAGTACTCGAATGGTAAATTTTGCCATTTAGTCGGAGAAATTTGGATGTGGCTGGGCGTCCTTCGACTGTACGAACATAGAACCTTCAAATGAAGCATAGGATCGACATTCACGAGGAAAGGAGACAAATCGAACGAAAGAGCGAATACATCATTTCTCTAAAATTATATTTTATAAGCTACAGCGTGTACAGTTTGTAATAAAAATATATCAGTCGTCACGTGATATGCGTTAGTATACTCGAGTAAACGATAGGGCAGTTTAAAGCATTCGTTGGACACTTTGGGCTCGAGTTTAGGATCCGAATTTCTGGACAGTAATACAATCTACAAGGAAATATAATTATTTTCGCGTGCGGATGTACCAAGATTTTTATGTCCGACTTTTATCGACTCAATTTTACCTTGGACAATATTTTTCTACCGCTTCCTTCAATGTGTATTTTCCATTATGGTTGTTCTTTGATATTTCTTGGACGATGAAGCCCATGAAAGCTTGACATGGTACTCCTGTTAGCTGAATATCGTTTTCTGGCTCAATAGTTGCCAGCTTGTCTGGTAAACACTCGTCTTTATTGCTGTTCGAAGAACAAAACATAATCGACCTGAATTATTATTAGAGTATCGATGTTTATGCAGATTCATATTTTTGAGAAGAAGCAGAATCTAATTAAAAAAAATGCAACTTACGTAGATATTCGTACATTACCAGCTAACTGTACCAAATTTTACAATTTATATAAATATAAACGAAATAACAGATTTATACTAAGCTAGCTAGAAAATAAAATTACCGAAAAATATGTAATTTATATTAAATATTGACAAGTGTCCTAATACATAATAATTATAGCTTGTAGTGTACTTTGAATATTTTACAAATTTTTGCACATTAAATGCATTGTGTTTTGTGCAAATCTAAATTAATTTTAGATTTTATAGACGTATAAACACCCGTCTAATTATTTAGAACAACGTAAAGAAATTTTACGCAGATAAAAATGTTCTGCTTACTTGCAAAGATAAGTTTTCATCGAGTCTAGATTGCAAAACATATTCGGTTTGAGGACGACACCAGGAACGCTCCAAAGCAACTGTGCTTTGGCTGCGATTTCCAGGACTTGGTCGTCCAATTCTTTCGCAATTTTCCACAGTTTCGAGCTGCAAACAAAATCGTTTAAACCGTCTAGAATAATGTAGAAGTTTATAGTCGATCTCACCCTTTGAAGAATTTATCGATCGATACATTGACGTTCCTTATATTTCCATTTGCAAGTACCAATTGTTCCCTAAGCCTATCCTCTCGACTCGATATCCAGGAATGATAGTTATTTGAATCGTTTAATTTAGATTCCAGTCTTGTTCCATTAATACTTGGCTGATTCAATCTTCCCTTATTAGGCTCCTCCTTTATTAAATTTATCAGGTACACCTACGATAAAAATTCGCGTCACTGGCGTTCTGGAATTTGGACAAACGCTAAAATTTCAAAGATTTCTCTCGAAGGTTTTACGTTAAAGTCTGGATGTCTTCTGGCCGCAGTTTCTATGTAACAATAATCCGTCGTCGACCAGTTCTGATTATCCAGTTTGAAGAAGTACGCATTGGATGCTCCGACTTGTAGGTTCGAGATTCCTCCTATTCTAAAATATCGAATGATTTATGGAACAACGTTGATATCAAAATTTCTGCCTTGTGTACGGAAATCGTTGAAACGATCGATATAGCGCTCCTGGTGGAAAAAATATAGCGAGACTGGAAAAATTCTTTTGTAACTGCGGACTGATTTTTATTAACATGGTAATCGCTAAGTGGGAAATTTAAAAGAGCAAAATCGTACAGAATGCGCATAATGTATGAAATTACGCAAAAATACTCGAAATAAAGTATCGACACAATAATATTTGGTAGAATTTGGAACGAATCTCTATTCAAGTTCCACCTTTTGGTAATTCAGTTATAAAAATAATAATTTATAAATAAAAATTATGAGTCATTGTAAACATGAATTTACGTAAACATCCGCAGTTTAGTGATTACTATAGCGTGTAGACGATGACAAGATGGTTGATACAGCGAGATTTTCTTAAACTTTCCTACGAATATTTGTTAAGCATTATGCATTACCATCTCTTTGCGATACGCAAACCTATGGACACGCGACGTTCATTCTTTGGTAACTTTCATATTTTTTGGTATCCGAGTAGTGAAATTAGAAATTTGCGAAAAGTAGCGCTGATCAGTTTGGCTTTCAAAAAGTTCGAATAAGAGTTTGGCTTTCGAACAATTCGAATAATAAGGCAATCAGAAATTCGATAGACCGATTATTAGACCTATTTAATGCTTTGATTCATGATCTCACTGTATCCTTTCCATCAAGAGTATAATAAAGAAACAGCTAGACACCTGTTACCGACAACGGTGGGCGCACAAATAGCCACCGTGAGGAAGATCAAGAAAACCAGGCTTCCTATGATTAGACAGGCTGCCAGAAATGCGAACATTACATCCGCTGGCCATTTTCGTAATTGATTTACTACGCCTTTGATTATCGGCGTTTCACAGGGTGTCTCTGTAAACTTGGCGAACTTATCGCTGTGATTGTCCGGGTAAAGGAGCGACACGTCCTCTCCAAAGGGATCTGTTGTTTTTGACAGAAATATGTAGAACGTTTGATACAAACATGTAGAATATTCGTAGATTCGTGGAACTTGTTTCTTAAATTTTTAGTAAGAGGAACAAGGCTTCGTTCATAGATAGATATCTTTATCAAGTTTCTATGTCCAAATATCGCGAAACGAGAAAGGACGAGGTGAAAATTTCTTTCTTAAAAATTCTTTTTAACATCTTACTAATTCTAATTATTCTAAGAAACGTAGAATTCATGATTTGGAATCAAGTTTCCTAAGGTTAAGAATTAAAAGAACATAACGCATGCGATGAAAATAGTATCAAATAATGATACACAACGAAACCAATTTGCTCTTCGCTGTCTCAGTTCGTCGATTATTATTATTATTTCCGATTTAATTTTAACTTCGAACCGGCCTTGCCAAAAAAAAATTACCACACGGTAAATTCAATTCAGTTCTCGACAGTGAAAAATTTCCGAAATTCAAGCGAAAATACTGTAAGAGCGTAAACGACGATAGTAATGGTCTTTGAAGCGGCTTCTCTTCGATCACTTACCCTTCGTGCTCGGCATAATGTCGATACTTTCACACTGCTAATGTTGTTCTCCTCTCTGGCCGTTTATGCAGTTAGTTTCGTTCGCCAAGTCAGCATTTCGTAATAATTGGCCGTATTTAAATTGAGTGACGACGATTTGCCAGACTACGGAGGTGGACTGCGTTGCGCTGTTGGCATAATGTTCAAAGTGGAGCATCGAAAACGCGTTCCCGCCGACGAAAGTACGCGATATGAGAATCTTCGCGCGATAAAATCGCGCACGTAGGTTATTCGGCGATGATTGCTTGTTTCTCGATATATTAATTTCGATGGTCACGCGATACTATCATTCTCACGTCCTTTCGCTTATCAGACGCGTTTCCAAGTGAATTGGTACGTACAACGTGATACACGAAGGATCTCTTAACCTGTGAACTTTAGTTTCAACAATCGTTTACCGGGGCGCATAGTTAAACTTAAGCAATGACGAGTATACACGTCGAACGGAGGGCAAATGCTCGCGTTATAAATTTTTTCGGAAAAAGGTAAAGCGAAACGAGGAAGGATTTTAACGACGAAATTGAGATTAAGGAAAAAATTGAATTTCTCGTAGATTTCGACTGGTCTTTATTACAAATAAGAGTTTCACAATTTACGCTAGAAGTCACGATGGCAGGTATCCATGTCCCGGAGGAACACTCGGAGCTCTACCATTTCAGGTTCCTCTGCACACTCCGTCTAAATAATATCAGAATAATTCGATCTGGTTCGCTGTGCCGATCGAATCACATAGTTGAGAAGCTCTCGAAGCGGCTGTCGATTTCGTGCAAACCTATCCTCGCGATCGATAGTGTCTTTTTAACTGGGAACGTTTCTATATACAAACGTCGATCTAGTGCTTAGGATACCCTGCAAGCAATAAATATTAAACGAGGCTAATTTGTTTTGGCGGTGAGAACGTTCGCTACCCTCACTCTCGTGGAAATTGAAAGTTAAAACAAGGCACTTTATCTTCGCTATGGTGGCTACCTTTTTTCTACTATAATTAGAAGTATAGTACGTGGAATTGTTTAACCAACACGGTTCCTTTCGCCATAAACTATCAAATTAACCCACTAAAGACTACTCGTTTGAAATATGTATATATATATATATTTTGTTGTTTGTTTTTGATCGAAGTAAATCATTGAATTCCACTTTTTAATGTCGTGGTTACGAAATGAAATTCCAAAGATTCGTTCGATTTTTCTTCTTCATTTGCCTATATCCGGCAAATTGGTCTTTAATGGGTGAATTTACGGGAGAATTAACAGGAATTAAATGGCATCGCTAAATCTACGAAGTTTCGTTCGAACACTGATGCTTTGCCAGGCATGGACGTAACTGACGTATCGATGACTTCAGTCAGAATATCGTTAATTTAATACCTTAGCGTTCGTGCGTGCTAAATTGTAAAAATATACCTTTCGATAGTTTGCTAGGTACTTTTGTTACATCTAGTCGATCATTATACCTAAATCTATCGAATATACTGACTTTAGATAACTTAATCTTAAATTCTGAATTGCTTGATAATTTTCATTAATGAAATCTCCAAGATCTTCGATATTTCAGTTCTCAAGTTTTAATTAAAATGATGGTTAATTATATAATTAATGGTTAGAGCGTCGTATGCTTCGTTTTCGAAACTACCTCGTGAAGCGTTTTCAGCCAAGTTCTCGAAAGCCTCGTCGTTCGAACAAAAACGATTATATCCACGTTTAGTTTCTAGAAGATTAATTTTACTAAATTCAACGAGCAATTTGACTGGCTCTTTTAATTATTACACATGGAAGCTTCTAACCGACCTGCGGTTTAGTGTAATTTACAAACATCGTAAAATAGCAAAAATAATTGTCCGCATATCTTCTACTTAATTTATAGAATATAAATTCACAGATACTTATAATATATAGTTGGAAAAGTTACGCGTTTTAAGCCGTGACTATACAGAAGAGTGATAAACGCTAAGCGGTGAGCGATAAGAAGCACAGCGATGAAATACGTGACGGCTGAACGATAGAAAATAAATGAGAATAATTTTGATTTATTTTCTATCCCTTAGTCGTCGCTTCTTTGTTGTAGCTCTGTCGTTTATCACTTTTCTGTATAATCACTGCCATACACGAAGAATGTCTATACGGAAACACATTGGTTACTCAACCCTCAGAACACAATGAACTACGCGAAACTAATTGAAAGTTCTTATTCCACGAATTTGTTGAATTCCTCAGAAATTTGTCAAAATTTATTTCGTATATCTACCTTTTATAAAGAGTTCTCTTGCACGATAATTTACCAATTAACAATATTAATTCTTAGATTCTTACAATTACGTGCGTTCAGCTTCACGTCGAACGAAATAGTCGGACGACTTGTAATCTGTAAAATTCAATTGCAAAATTTCACTTATTTTCACTATAAGCAAGCTCGTTACCGTTACTTATAGAATTTTACTAATAACATTGGTTCGATCGTAAATAAAAGGAGAGTGCGGACAAGGGGATTTCGCCCGAAAGAAGGAAACAAACTGATCGGTGGAACCAAAGAATAAATGTTCAGATTCTCGCGTCCAGCCGCAGCTGTGTCCAATATCATTGATGCTCGAGGGTTGAATAAGACCAATCACGACTCTGATGCCGCTTTGGAAATACGTAAAACGCAATATTCTGTACAACACAATTGCACTGGCACTTGGAAGCGATATGTTACACTAAGAGAAAGGCACACTTTGCTCAGACGCTCGTGTAAGGGACCGTCTGTTTCGCGGCAATATTCTTCTCGCCAAATTTACGAGAACCATTCTCACTAACTAAATTCTTGGACTCCTCGCTATCCAACGAGCTATTATCACTGTTAGGTCTCGATAAAACCTCGTTCACATCCTGAAGCTGCGCATTCTCGTAACTCCTTCTATTTCTTGCGATCACAGGTTCGTTGGGAATTTTTAGATCCTTTCTAACGCACTCCGGGCTACAATTCCACTGCATTCCATCGTAGAAGCCAGATTCCGGCGACAGATCGGATACTGGAGAGATTGGTAACAAGGTCGATGGAACTGGTGACTTTATAGCAGGAACGTAGTCGTTCGGCGATAGATCAGGATCCGACAGCGAAGTGCTCTTGTCTTTAGCTAATATCTCCTGTGGCTGACACGATTTCGAAGGTTTTTCTATTTCTATCATCAACCTGTCGTCGTTGGAGTTCAATCTTCCTCTGGCGTCCACTTCTTGGGGCTCCCTGCATCCTTTTACGTAGATGGCCTTCCTCGTCGCGTTTAAATACTCTCTGCTGCCCGTGTGTTTTCTATTAACGATGAAATTCTCCCTGTATCCGGTCTCCACCGCGTTCTTGTTATCCAAGGGGATTAATAAATACTTTCTGGACCCATTCAAATTTCTTCTGGACCCATCCAGGGATCTTTTATCTTCTTCCAAGCCTCGAAGAATATTTCTATGATAGAGACTCCTCTTGGAACTGTTCAAAGATCTCTTCTCCTCGTCCGGAACACCGTGTCTCGTGTTCTTCCGATTAGTCGATTTTAGTAACAACGGACTCCCTTCTCTCGATGTTTCTGGCTCTTCGAAGATGATCTCGCGGCTGTTCTTAAGGATCTCCCTGTTCACCGCTTCCGGCAAGTGTTGTAGATCGACGTCACCCATCACCTGGATCCCATCAGCGTCTAAATCGAGAATCTTGTAGTGGTTATGGTCTCGATTTGGAACCGGTGGTCCGTGATACGTCGAGTCTCTGCAAGAATTTCGACAGGTGGTCGCCTCGTCGGCGCTGGTTTCGCTTCTGCCGCTGTCCACGTAGGTTAAATTGTGGTTTGGATGATGATGAGGATGATTTAGGTGTGGACGATGACCGTAGTGGTACTGGCTGTCCTGACAGGACTCCATTAGGAAATCCTCGTCTACTATCATACCTGCAAAATAGTCTTCTACTTAGAGGAATTTCAGCTTTGATCTTTCGAACTTAGCGAGTAGAAATGTCTGTATAAATTTTGATGGATAATCGATATGACGCGTACTTCGATGTGAATGTGTTTGGCTTTGAATTATTTTACAAATTATCTTACGACAACCAACAAATACCACTTTGCTTAACCCTTCGTTTACAAACGTATTTGTTTCGCCCTCCATAGGTAGGTGATTTGTATGTGGAGTTGAAGCTTTTCGCTCTTTTAACTTTGTAAAACAGATGCCCAGGTGTTCGTGTAACGTCTCAGTTACGTATGAAATGGTTAAATGAAATTTTTGTCGAGTCAAATGTCTGAAATATCTTTCAAAAATGACGATGATGAGAAAAGCAGGAATTGGAGGAATTTCGCTTACTGTTTCAACGATTCAATTTGCTTACGAACGCTTTGTTAAACCCTTTGCTGTCCAGACACTCGACACTTTGGCCTAATCGACCTACACTTAATAAATGACTTTCAAAGGTGTTCGTAGTTTTGGCTGTGTTCTCGTATTTTCACAAGCAATAACCACATCTGTTTTAATATATTTTTATTAAAAGAAAAGAACGAAATAGAAGGTGAAACTCAACTTGACGTAGAATTGCAAAGGGTTAAAGATGATTTAGTAAATGTGTGGCTCAGCGGTAGTTTTGTACATGCACTGAGAGTCAAAAGTGTGTGTACGCTGAAAGGCAAGAAATTTATTTCGGATCTTCTACGCGCATAAATTGAAAATTGGTTGAGAGGAGACGAAGTATACAGGATTACAAATCAATGGTAATCTCACGTTTGACTCTCAATGCGTATGATAGCCCTTTACCAACAACCTCTCGATCGGATCGTATCGCGCAACAATGTTCGACAGGACGTCACGCGATTAAGACAATACCAGAAACAGACACAAGCGTGAGACGGACAAACCAGGACCTCTTATCGAACATCTGAAACTCATCAGCCGCGGAAAATCCGCAGAAAAAACTGCTCGATACGCACTTTGAGACGAGTCGTAGCTTTTTATGGAATCTTTGGTTTGCCTTAAATTACAGCGTCTGGTGCTTCGCTAACTGGCCACGAGTTGAGTTCTCATTTGGCCAATTATCGAGAGACGTCAACCTTCGTGAAAGCGTTTTAACCCTGCAGCCGCGGGCGACGCGAAAATCGCGTTTTACTTATTTTAA